CCCGGCGTGCGCAGCTTCGGCTTCCCCAACAAGGCGCTGCGCACCTACGGCACCTACTGCTTCGCCGGCACGTAGGAACGCCGGGAGACGAGCCGGGAGGAGGGTCTGGATGAGCCCGCGGCGGGCATTGGTTTGGGGTGGTTTCAGGGGGGTTCTGCGCTCTCCTGCTCTCCAATGGCATTTGAAGGCTCCCTTGGTGAGCTGGGATGAGGATGCGATGTGGGCAGCCCTGTGTCCCCCCGTTCCCGCCGGCCCTGGCACATTCTTTTGCCTTCCTGATTAATAAAGCGATGGCAAAGCCGCTTCTGGCCTGGCTGGGATCGCTGGCCCTCTCGCTCTGGGGGGTGCTTTGCCAAGGACTTTCTGTCCCGCTGGCATCCTGGGGAGCTTTATCAGTGTCCCTGGCTCGGCAGCGTGGGGATTTCTGCCATTCCCTGCGCAGGGCGGCTATAAAAAGCCCCAGAGATGGGCACAGAGGTGCCAGCATCCCTTGGCAATGTCCCCCCTAACTCCCGTGTGCGCTGGAAGCCACTTCCCAACCTGGCACTTAACCGGTCCCGATTGCTCCCGGGTGCTGGGACGCAGCGGAGGCTGCAGCTCCCTGTTATTCGGTTGCTTCGCCCTGTCTCTTCCTCCTCATCGCTGCCTCCGAATGATGCCACCGCTCTGCGCCGTGGGTTTATTGGTTTTAATATCAACAGCAGCCTGCGGGGTGGCCTGGGACGGGGGGACAGATGCGCTTGGAACTGCCAGGACAGCAGCTCTTCCCTGTTCTTCTGGGATGCGCAAGGTCCCCCCGTGCCCACAGTTTTGTCCTGCGTCCCCGGCATGTGAGGAGCCGAGCATCCGAAGGCGACACCAGGGGCATCACCCTGCCCAGAGGTCCAGGGCTGGATTTGGACTCTGTTTCAACCTCAGGAACCAAACGCAGAGTGAGGTTTCCCACTGCTGAGTCTCTTCAAGGGGATCTTTAGTTATTAGAAATTCCTTATATGGGTAGAAAACGGCCAAGAAGGCCCAAAATGGGGACGTTTCCCCACCGGTTTCGGTGCTGGTGTCCTGGGTGCCACCTCCGTCCGCGCCGGGGCTGGTGGCTCCTGCCTGGGTGATGGGCTCAGTCATTGCGGATCTGAGCTGGGCCTTGAAGGGGACAACGAGAAGCAAAATGGAATGTCCATGGAAACCAGACCAGTTCCCAAGGTAGGAAAAGGGGGAGTTGAAACCAGCACACCCCTCCAGCTTTGCCCAAAATTTGTCCTGAGTTGCACAGACTGGAGCGGGGGAGTCCCAGGCTTCCACGGCTCTGGAACGGTGCAAAAGCAGGGGAAAACAGTGCAAAAGCAGGGGAAAAAAAACGGTGCCAAGGGCTCACCGGGGAGGCAGAGCAGCCGGGGCTGTTCCCACGTCCCATCCTCCCGGCATCGGGCCACG